AAAACACATTCTTTTCTCCGTTTCCGAGAGGCACGGCCCTGCCTCTCACGAGAGCACAACAGTGTTTCTCGTGGAAGCAAAAACGTGCCTCTCGCGAAAGAAAAAAAAACAAAATACGTGTTTTTTTCGTTTTTGAGAGGCATGGTCGTGCCTCTCGCGGAAGAAAAAACCCAGAAAACACGTCTTTTTTGTTTCCGAGAGGCATGACCATGCCTTTCGCGATAGCATAACCGGACTTCTAACGGAAGCAAAACCATGCCTCTTGAAGAAGGAAAAAACAGAAAATGCATTTTTTTCCGTTTTCGAGAGGCATGACATGTCTCTCGCGGAAGAAAAATAACAAGTTTTTTTGCGCATTTTTTTCTATTTTTTGTTCCAAAAGCTAACGAAGATAGGTGAAAAACCAAAAAGTCAAAAAAACCCAAAAAATCATTTAAAAAGCCAAAAAGGCGTGCCGAAAAGAAAAAAAAAATCCGAAGGGAGCGCCTAGAGCGCGACACGTGGCGGCGGCTGAGAGCGCGCCAAATGGCGTGCTCTCGGTCCACCCCAAGTGATCGTTATGAGGCTCCCAAAGAAGTGCTCGCCAACTAGTTGCTCTCAGCTGCCACGGGCTACAGGTCCTGGGTTCAGCCAACGTGTCCCTAGGGGCCCAACACCGGGCAACACAATGTCTCGCCTTCAGCGAATCTAGCTTCCTACTTGCTGAAGGGGCGAGCGAGCTGGGCTGGCCCACTAGCGCGGGGGAGGTGGGGGGGGGGAAACCTCCTTTTCCTGTCTTATATATATATATATATATATATATGTGTGTGTGTGTGTGTGTGTATATGTATGTATATATTTGAAAAATGTTGAGCAAGTATTTGAAAAATGTTGAACTAGTATTTAAAAAATGTTAAACAAGTATTTGGAAAATGTTGAACAAGGATTTTAGAAAATGGTCAACAAGTATTTGAGAAAATGTTGATCAAGTATTGGAAAAAGGTTGAACAAGTATTTGAAAAGTGTGGAACAAGTATTTGAAAAAATGTTGATCATGTATATACAAATGTTGAACAAGTATTTAAAAAAATGTTGAACAAATATTTAAAAAATATCGAACAAGTATTTCAATTGTTTTTGATCATGTATATAAGAATGTACAATGAAAAACAAAAGAAAAAAAGAAAAAAATGAAAACCAATAAAGAAACCAAAAACCAAAGAAATATAAAAACATAAAAAACAAAGAAACAAATGCGACAAGAATGAAAAAATGGAGAAGAAAAAAGAAAAGAAATAAAAAAAAGTACAAAATAAGAAAAAAAAATTGGATAAAACCGGCTACACTCACTTCCAGTAGATTGCGTCCTTACAAATATCATGAATTGTATGCTTGCGTTTTGGCTAGTAGCGCTGGTTATCTTCGCGGTGACCTGGGATCGATCCCTCCTGCGCCCATTTTCCTTCTTCTTTTCCACTGTGCCCGGAAATGGGCCGGCCTGTAACGACGACGACCAGGAAAAAGTCGGGGCGAGAGTTTCCTCTCGACTCGCTTAAGGCGAGATATAGTCGCCGTGCCCAACACCACCATCGTTTGTCACAGGGTTAGGTGCCACGCCTCTTGGGCGCTACGACCGCTGTACACCATGGGTTGGGCATCAACACATCCCTAGGGAGACAACTGATAGCTTGCAAGTGCACATTTTAGTTGTTACTACTTTCTGAAGTAAGGGTATCAATCCACGAAGAGATGAGGAAATGGTCATTTGCCCTTTGTACAAGTTCATAGTAATGTGCCCGTGAGTTATTACTTGATTCCAAAATGAAGGCATAATGGTGATGGACTAAATAGAAAGTGGATAAAAGTAAATAACTTGACCGCGCAGTGGTTAAAGTAAAGAACATGGGAGAACTTAGTAAGCTATAATATTGAGGCAATATGTTAAATCTAGTGCATTATCCTTTTTTACTTGTGAGTATATTTTGGTCTAAGCATATTTCATTTTACCGAGGTTCATCTTTTATGGAAATTAATATGCCATATGCATAAAATTACATATCAATACAATATGCATAGTAGATATGACACTTTAGAAACTAACGATTGCCTTAAATATTACCATATTGGCATTCAAATTTTAATTATCCAGTTCGCCTTGGTCACTTGTATTCAAGTCCTTGGAGACACAAATTGGCTTCCTATTTATGGTCAAGCTTAGAGCAACTCTAGCAGAGTCATCATATGCTCCAGAGCTCCATAATAATTGCCAATATGGAGGTTAGGGAGCAAAAGTGCACTCTAGCAGAGTCTCCATATGGGTTGCTATGTCCATGCATTATAGATCGTCCTCCATATCTAACCTCTCAGTCTTCGTATTTGCTGTCTTGAGGCCAAATTTTGGAGCACACTACATCCAACAAAATTGTTTGGCGCGTAGGAAACTTCACATCACCCCCTCCTCACATGGAGCTGGAACGGAGATTGGGGGGAAAAGATATCTCATTGATGAGTGGGTCCCAAATTTTGGAGGCTGAGACATGACGATCCTTAGTTTGCGCGTCGCCTAGGTAGCTAGCCTCCATATGCATTTTGGCGACCACATATATGGCGACTCTGCTAGAGTTTCTCTTATATTTTTCCTTCAAAACATATTTTTTTTATTAAAGGTACAATCATGAAGTTTATCGAGCAGTAACAAAACATTTAACTTCGTACTCATGATTTTCATGTTTTTGCAGTACCGACAGAACTACGGACAATAGCAACATGGGCTTGACAATTGACGCCATGTGGTTGTTCCTAGCTATTTTTCTCATCACTGTAATAATCATTAAGAATGCAAATGCAAGAGTTAACTCTGATCCAGGGTGTGTACTACCACCTCCACCTGTGGTCAATATCATTGCTCTCCTAAAACTCTTACCTAACTTGTGTACAAAGGGCCCCGAAGTTACAATGACCTATCTGTATAACAGGTTTGGTAGTGTGTTCACAATAAGTTTTCTTTGGAAAAGAATAAGCTTCTTGGTTGGGCCAGAGGTCTCTGGTCTTTTCTTTCAAGGTTCAGAGTCCGAGGTTTCCCAAGGCAATATGAATGAGTTCACTGTGCCCATGTTTGGCCTAGAGAACGGATATGCTGTAGATTACAACACTCGAATGCAAGAGACTCGCTTCTTCATTGACGCTTTAAAGCCATCGCAACTGAGGAGCCATGTTGACCCCATGCTTCGTGAAGTGGAGGTAAGAATACATTAGACACTGTGCCTCCTCACATTATTAGATTTCTGAACATAAGTTGCAACTAATTCATGCAGTACTAGAAAATAAGCAAGCTTAGTAGTTATATCCATTTCTAAATCGATGACTTCTTTTTTACTTTTCAAATTTTGAAGGGAGCAACTTTGACTCCGATTTCGTTTTTGTTGCAGTCTATTCTGTCCAATGTACTGTACTTTGTTTAATATAATCAACGAAGTCAGGTTGTCTGCTAAAAAAATGATCATATATTAAGGAACCTAGTTTGCTACTTCATGTTACTCTATCAATTTCTAAATAGATGATGCTTCTTACTTTGCTATGTCTAAAGAGAGCAAATTTGAGCCCTAATGTTATTGTGTATACGTAAGTAGAACTTGTAAGAATAGGTATGTAGTGTAAATTTTTATTGCAAATTCGTCTTCAGTTCAATCTAAAAATTCTAATATTTTTTGCAAGTTAAAAAACCTGCTTGTTAGTGAAAAAAGTAGTGAAATTTGATCACTTGCTTTCTAGTAAGCAATCAATGTATTCTGGAACGAGTGTTTATATTTCTTATAGATCTACAACTATCTCAGAATCTGCACAATTTAAAGTACTCCATACATGCCATAGATAAATCCAATTGATGCTTCATATTGAGTAAATAAAATTTACTCTGACGAAAAAGTGCTGTAGATAAAACTAGTTTAGTCTCCATGTACATCAAATTTGCTTTGTAGAAGGGTACAATACATAAATAAATAAATAAATGGAGACAATACTTTTTTTCACTTGGTCCTTATATGTCGGTATATTTTACACAGAAATCTGGATGCTGCCGCAAAATGATATGAAAATAAAATGACAACAATTATCAGAAAAATCATTTCTTGTAACAAAACAACTATAAAAAGAAAGGTGATACGTTATTAATAATTAGATAGATTTTTACTTTTGAAGTATTTATTTATTTCCCTGATATTTGGTAGGGGCAGGGTTTAGAATTTTGGTACCAATATGTAAATTTTTATAAAATCCAAATTTTATTTTATAACTCTTTGATCTGAAGTTAATTTAATTTACTACAAATTTGAATTTGGTTTGAATATAGTATAAAGTTATGTGGTAACAAGTATTTTGGTACCCATGAAATTACCGAAATTTTGAAAACATTGTTGAAATTTTGAAACCTGGATACAAACATGTTCCCATATGAAATTATTGTACTTGAAAGAATAATATTAAATTGACAAAAGAAATTGGTTTCCTTCGTAATAGTGTTACATATAGTTCATTAGCATGTACACGATTGCTCAACACGCTCATTATACCAGCCTTGCCTAGAAAGTTATGGTGTTTCACGATGTTATACGAGTAGACAAACTCGTGGTGCATGTTAAGTTGCTATATATATATATATATTAATCCAACTAGCCGACGTTGTGATAATGTATGCTATATATTTTCCATAGGACTACTTTGCAAAATGGGGAGAAGAGGGGGTAGTCGAGCTGAAAGATGAGCTCAACCAGATACTCATGTTGATCGCAAGTCGATGCTTACTTGGAAATGAGGTTAGAGAAAAGCTATTCGGTGAGATTTACACGTTGTTTAGTGGAATCGAAGAAGGGGTGAACTTGGTGAGTTTCATGCTCCCATATATGCCTATTCCGGCAAACCACCGACGAGACAAAGCACGGATCAGACTTACAGAGATTGTTTATGATATTATGAGGTCAAGAAAGACATGCGACGGTGTCGAGGAAGATGTGCTCTAGAAATTGATGGACTCTAGGTATAAAGACGGCCGTCGTACAACAGAAGCGGCGGTCGCCGGGATGATCATCGCATTGATATTTGCTGGAAAACACTCAAGCACAATTGTATCCACCTGGACAAGAGCTTGCCTATTGACCCATACAATGTTTTTAGATGCTGTTGTGGAAGAGCAAAGGGAAATAATGAGAAAATATAAGGACAATATAGACTATAATGTCTTGTCAAAGATGGAGACATTGCATAGTTGCATCAAAGAGGCAGGACGTATGCATCCAGCAACACTAGGGTTGATTCACCAAACACAAAAGAATATCACTGTGAGGACAAAAGAGGGAAGTGAATATGGCATCCCGAAAGGTGACACCTTAGTAAATCTTGTAATGCTAACCAGTAAGTTGTCACACATTTACAAGGACCCTGAAGTGTACGACCCATACCGGTTTCATCCTGGAAGAGAGGAGGACAAAGTTGGTGGTAAATTCTCGTACGCAATATTTGGCGGTGGAAGCCATGCTTGTCCTGGGGAGGCCTATGCTTTCTTGCAAATCAAAATTATATGGAGCCATTTGCTGAGAAATTTTGAAATCAAACTCACTTCTCCTTTTCCAAAGACAGATTGGAGCAAGTTCGTGTTAGAGCCTAAAGGAAAAGTGCTGGTAAACTATAGGAGACGTCGTCTGGAAAGCAACTGAGATATGCTATATGTCCATCGATATGTATTTGCATGGACGTACCTTTGCATGTGTGTGGTAATACATATTTGATAGTTGCCTATGGTTTCTGGGGCATCATAAGTTCAAGTTATGCGTAACTTGATTGTTTAATCACTTCTACTTCATTGTCCAAATATTTGGCTTGTTGACCCTGCTATGTAAGAGACTATAATAATGAGTGGCATATATATCTTTATGTTTATCTACACGCTACACCAGGTTTATCATTCTATTTATGCATGGATTGATGTGATGCAATGACACAATTAGTGTATCTATCATATACTAAAAGAACAATATGGGTCAACAATATAAAATAGGCTAGAAATTCCCACAAAATTTAGAAACATTTAGCCTAATATGCCAAAAAAATCACAACCTATTATCCTAGATCTACTGTTATTATACTCAAAGTTAGAACAAATTACCAACCGTTGCCACCATTAAAATCACCTCCGCTTTGACATGACAAAAGGAAAAAACGTCCCAGTCCTTACTCTTTCCGGTTGCCACAGAAGCCCTCACTGATGTTTCCTGCTCGACTCCGGCGGGTTGCCAGAGCCGGGCCAGCAAAACCAGGGCCATGTGCGAAACTAAAAAATGGGGCTCTATCTCACTAAAAAAAAGAATTAACAAGCAACTATTATGTAGCATATGGTATGATGTCGTACATGATAGCTGGATATATAAAACTCATACCTATTCAACTCCCGGTTGTATAATGTTTATTGAACAACATCATTCTTTTAGTATTCTTTGAAACTAAATCTTCAATGATGGCAACGTGGTGGGGCATGTGGTCACGATAGCTCATGTGGCGAATCCCTTTGAACTCTTATGCTGTGATCTTTAACCGAGGAGGAAAGAACCAATCTATAACGATCCCTGCCAAAAGTTAGTTAGGAAATTAAGAATTAGGAGTAGGAGCTGAAGTTATTCAAAAGGAGCACTCATCAGCGACAAGCTACCTGTTTTGAGCCGTGAGAGTTGCCGTAAAAGGAGGCCCCGAAGCCGTCAGAGTTGTTGCCATGTGCCCGAGTCAATCCGCTCGCCAGGAACTGTCGTCGTGTGCTCGTCAGGAATTGTTGTTTTGTGCTCGTCTCACCCGTCGCCGTTGGTCAGGAGTCTGGAACTATCGCGGTTGCCGATCGATACGACAATTCTGTTTCCAATCGAGCAGCTGCCTGAGGACTGTCTCCAATTGATCCGATGAGGCGACAATCTCGTTTCTTGTAGGCTAGGCTATAGGCTATAGTGACAGGATCGCTAGTGCTTGTGTTTTGCGATTTTGCCTTTTGTGACTGATTCTAGTACTCTTGACGATCCGTTTTCCTTTTCTTTTATAGCTTGTTTGTTTGGGGGGAGTTGTTGATAGGGAATGGGAGTTTAAGGTAAGTGAGACTCAAAATCCTTTGATTGGCTCAGGGACATGGGAATTAGGAAAGGAGGGGGAAGGGGAATTAGGAGGGCCAACTCCCTCAGATCTCTTCCCTAGGGGACCCTGCTAATTGGACTGAGGATTGGGAATTAGCAAAAAAGAAAAAGATTTCGTTGGTTGTGCACGTTCATGAGGGACCTTTGGTTAGGTGAGCACAAATGTGAGGAAGGTATTCCCCTGCCTAATCCCACCAATCAAACAGGGGCAGTTAACTCCCTCTTAAAATCCCACTTCTAATTGCTTTCATAAGCCAAACAAAGGAATGGGACTTAAAATCAATTTCCCATGTCTAATCCCTTGGCAAACTCTCATATGTAAACTCCCATTCCCTCTCCCTGTTGTTACCAAACACGCTCTTAGGGAACCGACGATCCCGTTGGCAATATTTGGGAACAGAAATGAGAGTTTAGAGGAGGGAGTTGTGTTGAGATTAGACATGGGATGAGTCATTTTATTCACAATCCTCTGTTTGGTGCGTGATAGGAATTATGTGTGAGAATATGAGAAGAAATTGTACCCCCTTGTTTGGTTCTTGGGAATTGACATGTGACTAGACAAGGGAAGTTAGAATGAAGGGTTAAGATTGACTCACTAAAACAATTCCCATCCAACTCCCACCCCCTCCCTTATTAATAAAACAGTGGGAGTTGGAGTCTGTCCCATGCCTATTCCCTTGTGAATTCCCAATACCTCCAACCAAACGATAGATTTGAAGTCTCGTGCCCATTCAATTCCCATTCCCTAACTCTAATTACCCGCAACCAAACACGCTGACAGCAGCCTTGCTTGACGGCTCGATCCTCAACTCATGCAGATGTGCAAGCGGGGCCCAACGGCATGCCAGGCCCAACGCTCAGCTCGGGAACAGTTAAAAAAATACATGGCCTATAAAAAAATTGGGCCCCCAAAATTCATGGGTTCTATGTGGGCCGCACATTCTGTACAACTATGGGCCCGGCCCTGCGGGTTGCAGCTTGCCAGCTATCTCACGGCCTGAGCAACCTCCTCAAGATACCGTTCACCGATGTTTCATGCTTGACTCCAGCGGGCTGCAACTTATTGCCAACTCTCCCACGGCCTGAGCAATCTCGTCAACCTGCTGCCACGCTCCAATTAGTGTGTCAAAGAGGTAGACTGACTATAAACTAGCTTGATGGTGAGCTGCCCACACTTTCTGCTTCTCTTCACCCCACACCGACTGAAGAAGAAGCATATGAAGCCGAAATAACAAATACTGGAGCAACACCACTAGACACCTCTGAAGTCTGAACAGTTGCTGTAGTTCAAGAGAATGAAGGGTCAACTCAACCAGTCTCTCCTCCTTTTCCTGCTAATGAAATATCATCTAAAGGACAAGCAGCAAACGTAGAACACTATCATCAACATGAACCCACAAGTCAGCCTAATGTATCTTATGATGATCGAGAGGCTCAGATGATCTCAATTGTTGAGCATGCTAGCTTGCCAAAGTGTTCATCAAGCTTAGCAATTGAAGATCTTCACAAGATGGAAAAAGCTGTTACAAGGATAAGACGAGAAGACCCATTCTCAAATGAAGATGGATCAGCAAAAGAGAAATCCTGCCCAAACCCACGTTTCTATGATGTTGCAATTCAATAAGAAACTGGTTCAACACAGATGGGCGTGTTGGTTTCACATCAGCAACCAGTAAGATCTGAAATCGGTCATTCGCTTATTTGAATCCTGCAAGTTGACTTGGTTTTATGGATTTCAGCAGAGATATGATGAGAATATCATCAGATAATTCCATGCCAGTCTCTACATCCGCGAGCCCAAAATTCTGTTGTTTTGGATGTTCAGCTAAAGAGTTTGCCAGTGTGTTCAATCTACCATCTGGAGATGCCTTGCCCCAACTGCACTTATTTGACCAAATGACTAACAAAGAGAAAAGGAAATTCTACACACGAGGGGCAAATAAAATGGGATTTGTAGCAGAAGGAGTTCTAGTGCCAAAGACAACAAATCAAATTGCTAGAATAACTTTTCATCCCAAAGTTGGTAATCCAGATCGAGTGATAAGTTTGGATGTCATGTAATGGATTTCATTATGAAAATGATCATTTTTCTTTTCTTATTAGATTATTAGAGAAATGGATGACTGCCAGAGGGACATTATGAAGAATCTATACTTTGCCCCATATCTTATAATGAATTCTTGATAAGGCGCAGACTGATGATCTCAAGTTAGTAGCTCATCCATCATACCAGCGAACAGGAGATAAACAAACCTCAACACACTCTTCTCCTCTCATGAAAAGAAAGACAACATGTCCTTTTGAACCAGCTGAAGCTTCAGACCTCAGTGCCGACAGAGACAAGACAACAACAACAACAACAACATACTAAGCATCAACAGAAGCTGAAAGTAGCAGTTCAAATAGTGAGGAAAGTGGCAGCTCAGGAACCTACAAGCTTATTAAGATCTTCATCAACAAAAAAATTCATGATGGCATGAAGCACATAGCCAACCAGTCTGCTACTTTGAGCAAGATATTAGATAAGCTATCATCTATTGGAAAGATCAACTCTGTTAGGATATGTCAGATTGAAGACACTCTCAGAGGCACCTCTCCTGTGATCCTTCTCCTGTCCTATGTCTTTGTCTCAATGACTTCAAGATTGCTAAACAATTTTTTTTAAGGGAGATTGCTAAACAATGACTCGATAAAATGCTAATATTTTTATCCTTCCCAAAATCTGCAGCTAGTTCTATTCTAACCTGACTTACTTTACTTCCTCTAAAAGAAGAGTTCTATTCCAACAAAAGGGTGTGGTAATTTGTTACACCCCCCGCCCCAACATCAGATTATTTCCATTCCTGCCTCCGCCACTGTTTGGTGTCAGTCAATAAAACTGATCACCTGAACAAAAGTGTATGCAATTGGTGTTGGTCAATCAAGTAATTGTTGGAATAAAATTTCAACTTCTGTTGTTGCAGATACGTTGGTTTCTACAAGGGTGTGCAGAGTGCAGGTCTGTAGGAGCAGCCGTGGCATCGCATGTAGACACCCACAAGACGTCCCTGCTGTCATAGCTGATCGTGAACTCGTGGCTGACCACCGTCAGCTACCCGTTGCTGGCGGTCCTGGTGCTCCTGGCCGTGAAGAACGAGGACTACTCGGTATCCAACATCGACGACGGTGGCAAAGATAAAGACACCAAGATGGCCAAGCCATCAAGCTTCCACTGAGGAAAAGATAAGTTTCAGTCATTCAATGTGCTCGCCTGCGATGATACTTCACAAGCACGATGGTCCTCTCCATCGGCTCGAACATCGCGGGGATCCAATACCCGCTGGCGCCGTCCTTTGTAGGCCCCTCTTATGGGGGTCTTTTTACCCCCATAGGAGGGTTTTCTCCTCTGCGTTTGGTGCAAGGGGAGGAGAGCTCGAGGATGCCGCCGTCATCTTCGAGCCGGCGTAGGCCGACGTGCGCAGCCGCGACCCTGAGAATGGCCGGCTCCTCTTCATCGGTGGCGGCAGCAGCACCCCTCTTCCCGCTGGGGTTTTCACCACGGCAGG